CCTGACTACCATGCATTACTTACGATGTCAGTTTGGAGGATTTGACATTGGATCAACTAGTAGTCCTTTAATTTATATTTTTCTTTATGCTCATCATTTTTCTGCTTGAGAAAGTTTGTCTGGATCACTCATGTCAGTTAAACGGTTAAACTTGAAGAGTATAAGATTAGTAACGGTGCGATACAATTAGCAGTTTTGGGTCGGACTATGACTTTTATGATTATCAATATTAACAAACCGTAGTCATCCTTAGAGACAAGTAAAGCGAACTGGCTCCAGTTGTAATGCTTCATAATTCCTGCCAAAGCTTGGCATTGAATGGTATCACTCGGACTCATTCGCACGAGGTAAGGAAAGTTGGCTGGCGTGAAGGCAAAAGTCGGATCTGTTGCCACCGGAGCGAATTGTGGAATATGAAAGCCGGAAAAATACGGCTGCGTATATTTCACATCTGATGACCTCATTGGACCGATAATGGCCACGACACCATGTTGGATAAGGTATTGAGCTGAAAATACATAATTAGAAAGGTAAATATCGGCGAATACCTGGATGAGCTGTGTTCTGTGTTGCCTTGTGTCAGAGACACGTGAAACTATTACGTAAAGACTTTCAAACGAGGCCTTCAAGAGTAAATAATGCAATCGTTAATGTCACCGAAACAAAATTGCACAATAATACATCATTTGTTCACTTTTGAATTGTAAAAATGATACATAGTTATCACAGGAATTTCATTGAAGTCTTACCTGCTTTTAAATTATCGAAGGCATCCAGTGGTTTGGTCATGTTAATAATAGTCTCCAGCTCTATTCCGGGAAGAACGTTGGGATCCTTGTTCACGTTATCAATGGCAACAAGGAAAGATTTAACTAATCTTTCATTCTCAAATATGGCCCCTATAATAGTCAGATAATTTTGGAGATAAAGAGAAAAAGTTTATGGCACTGCATGACATTCCATAATAAAAGGTAACGAGATTAAAACATGACGTTTCGGCGTCGACATGTTACCATTATCAAATGCAAATTATTGAGTTTAGTGGTGTTATTTGAAGAAAGGAAAGTATGAAACTACATAAGAATAAAATGAGATGGAGTGAAAAGAAACTACTTAATAAAATCCACATTTCCACTGGAATGGAGTTTTTTTGAGTATTCAGAGTCGGTCTCTTTTTCCTATAATACGGAATGAAATAGAATGAAACTATATGTGTTTTGTAACGAGAGTTCACGACGGAATAACAACAAAATTACAACCGCGTGCCAGAGAGGAGACAAAACGATTTAAACCTGCTACTGCTCGATCACTTTTCCTTCCTGAACGCTTTCAAAATTCTGTACTCAGATAGACCGTAAAATGTCTAGAGAAGCAAGTGTGCATTTGACACCACGGTAAACTTACCAACTTTTACAAGTCGCGCGTGCACAGCAGGATGAGAACAAGTTAATATACTTGAAATAACTACAGTACATATCAAAGTACACATATTTCTTTCCACCAAGAGAAGAATATTTGCAAAATCTCAACTTTGATCCTTTGGCAGTCTTGAAATGATGTTCTTTTTGCGTTTCACAATAGAAGGAGTTTTATTCATAATGAAGATGGCGAGTAGTGGTTTCCTGCTTTGTCGCAGTGAACCATGAGACACACTGGGAGCTTTACAAAGCCAAATAAAAGCTTTTGTTTCCTGCACTGTCGGAGGTCCTTGAAATTATTGGCAGCAAGAGGTAGATTTGAACGTAATTGACTTACGATGATTTCTTGCTGGGAGTCAAAACAGAAGCCGTAGTTAAAACGTTCGATGTTTGCTTTGCATGGCGAGCAATGAAATGATAAAACTGTTATATTGTACGGTTTTGATGGAAATAACGGGAAACAGCACGATTGATAAAACCAAACAACAAAAATTTCTTTTATATTTTTCGCTTTCAGCTTTTGTTTTGATTTTAATTGTTATGCTTTCGGTGCCAAGACTCAAAAAAGAATTGAGAACTTAAAACCCATTTCATTTTAGGACTTTAGAGTTGCCATGCCGATTATTTCAGGTGTTTTGAAAGGAAAACCTTTGAGAATCACCAAGCGCACATGGTAAAATATATTGAAACGCGAAAAAACCAGATGGGCTTCTTTCCAACACTAAATCCCACTCCTTCTCCTTGGAAAACGACGGGGTGCCACCTCTACTTCCGATTAAGGCAAATCCGTTCAAAAGACATTTACTCGACACAAAGGATCTTATTCTTGTATTGCATTAATGTATGAATTGTACCTTTTTCCAATTTTTTGTTTGTTTGTTTGCTTTTGTTTATTTTTGCCTTAGGAAACTTATCAGCCACTTAGGATCTCCTTTTGTAGTTGGAATCAAGTTATTTTTACCTTCACCCGTGGGCATCTTTTTATGCTATTTTATTTTGCTGTTTATCATACTCTTTTGAAGTAAAAGTCCGATTAGCGCATAGTAATTTTACAAGATGTTATACATGGAGTAAATGCATTGAACAATGTCCAGCCAGACTATAATGTTCCTGTTATTGTTTGGTTGTCTGCTTTTGTTCGAAGGTTTGTTTCATCGTTTGTTTGTTGTTAAGCACTTATAAAGTGCTACTTTTGCCCAGTCATTAGTTTTGACCCTCTAATTATCTATTTTTAAATGAGATAAAGGTGTCTAACTTATGGAACATAACATGAACGCTTCTTCAATCAGCTACGCTGTACAAGACAATCTTGGCGAAACAGTGTTTATGCTGTCTACGCCCTCGAGTAAAAAGGTCTGTTTTTATAAGCTACACTAAAGAACTTCTCCTATGGCATGGTGAGGTGGGTGGTTTGATTTTTTTCCCTTTGAATCTGTTGGTGAAGCCATTGAGTTCTCCGTTGTTCTTCTTTGCAAGGTCCTCAGTCTTAAGTGCAGAATCTTTCCTTGGGGCTAAGTTGGAATAATCTTTTGTCTGGAAACTTTGGGAGGCATCTTCAGGGTCAACTGAAGAAGGAATGGCCCGACCTGGTCCTTGGTATGCTCGCCAGGAGGCCCATACGCGTCTTTTCAGTGCCTCAACTCGGGCCTAATAGAGAGAAAATTTTCTTAAGCTCACCTCGGAACGTACATTCTTGTTTAACTGGTAATCAAAGCAAGTAAGAAAAAACATTAGCAACTTTTTGGTCAGAAGTTCACTAAAAACCTGAAACAACCCTGAACTTTCAAATGCGCTCGCGCACGATGCACAACTTGTCCTTTCATTCATAACGTTCATAAATATTGGGACCCAAACGAGTCCATTAATATTACTGATCACTTCACGCGCACCTCCGCCAATGTCATCTATTGCATAACTTTCACTTATTTCAAATAGATATGCATTGTTGAAACAGGAAGATGACTGGGTGACCGATTTCGAGAACACCTTCGGGACGTAGAAAGGAATGTAAAGGACGCATCTAAAACAGTCGCTACACAGTTTGATCTTCCTTATCATTCTAAGCAACATATGGCAGTTTGGGGCCTTTCTTCACATTGAAGCAGCTCCAAAAACCGCAAAAATCTATAACAAAATTTATCTTTCAAATCGCTATTCATTTAAATAAACCATTATTATCTTCTCGTTGCAATGTTCCCACTAATAGCGTAGCTCCATTTTCTGCATATAAACACACGCACAAAACATAATTCTCCAGTCGCACTCACATTATCAACTCATTTGATAAAACCAAAGTTACCTTGTTATACTCCCCCACCGACACAGCGCCACAGTTTCTTAAGAAATTTACCCAATTTATTCAAGTTAGAAATTGATAGGTACGCGCATGAGTTCTAGAGTGAAATGCACAACCACTTAGGGTTGCTGGAAATTTGAGGATCTTCGACTGATGAATTCGTTCCAAACCTCGAGCAGGTCCGCCAAATCGTTTCAAAATGGCTGTTACAAAATCAGAAATAAAAAAAAAACCTCAAGAAGACTATCAAAACACTCAATGCAGAAGGTAAGTTGATCATTATTCAGAATGGAAATAAAGAAATGCGAGTGTCCTCTATTGATAAGTATTAATAATAAGTACGTAATGTAAGTAATAAGTACTTTCTTGACCAGTTTCCATCTTCGCAAACTCAGCGCATCAAACTACAGATCATAGATAATGTTTCACAGGTTGTATTGCCACCCAATTTAGTATAAAGTTGTAGACAAGAAGATTAATCCCTACCTCCCTCTTGTTTTGTTTCGTATCCTTATGGGCTTCGACAAAAAGTTCCACAAGTAGGACAAGAAGACTGCAGGCCATCCCAAACAACACACAGTAAAATACGCCTGATAGATCTGTGAACGTCAGCACATCCCCTGATGTATTTATCGAGGAGGAGGTGTCTGAGGGGAAAATTCAAATAGGGCTAAAATAAATATGTACGTATATTATCTTGGCCCAGTGATGGGCTTCTGAATTTGCGGATCTGAATAATTTTTGTAGCTGAATAATTTTTGTAGCTGAATAATTTTTGTAGATTAATAATGTTGAGTCGACTGTTTTCCAGTTAGGAAGGCGTTTGGACGCAATTTCTGTATTTATGTAAGACATCATGTTAAAGATTCTGAGACATCGACTTCGTGAGTTGGCAATTTCGAAAAAAGGGAGAAAAAAGAAGAATGTAATTGGAATGATATGAAGTAAATATACAAGAAATATGAATAACGCAGAAGGATGTCCGACACCACTCAGTCTCTCGTTGATATAATGCGACTTGAGCAGTAAGACCAACTAAAGGGAGAACTTAGAGAGCATTCTATACGGAAGCCAAGATGGCTAAGGAATTTTTCGGAAAGAGGATTTACATGTTGTGCCCTCACCTGTGTTTGATTCGTCATTTTCACAAGTCCCAACGAGCCATTTGCTCTTCATTGTCTCCATGTATCCCTTTTGTCTAAGTTCCAACACATTGATGCTAAATTGATGCGTGAAAGGGGAGTTTTTTGCTAGGCCAAAGCCGTAACCAAATTTACCAAATACCCTGAAAAGAAATAAAGGGAAGAAATATTGTGTTTGGCTTAAATAATTATTATGGGTACTAAAGGATAGATGGAGGAGAAAGGCCAGCGGAAGTATTGGGCCAGTCAAAAGACCACGATGACTAGCAACAGTCTCCCGACTGATAGACATCGTCCATTATCAGGTATCCAGTCGTTTCGTAACTATGGTCGCTTCGTAACCATGGTTGTTTTGAAAGCAGTTGTTTCGTACTCAAATTCAGTCGATTGGTAACCAGTTTTAGTCGATTCGAACATTCGTACACATCAAAATTTACACTCATTGGAAATACCTCAAGACAAGTAAGATATTTTTGGCAGATAAAGCCACTGTAAACACCTGGGACTTTCTGAACAATAACAGCTCGTGGAAGTGTGATTTTTTCTCACTTTGTCATTAACTATAATATATTTGTTTATTCTCGTTTATTCGTTTATTCTATTCTCGCTTTAAACATACTTAACATGGAAACCATTACGTATGATGCACGATCCTCGCAGTAGATAGCGCTATTTAAGCAATAGCGAAAATCAGACCTGAAAAAAAATCAGGCCTGTGCGGGACTCGAACCACTGACCTCTGCGATACTAGTGCAGCGCTCTACCAATTGAGCTAACAAGCCAACTGGGAGCAGGCCGTTAAGTTGATTGGTAATAAACCCGTGAAAGTGATAAATCAGATACAATGAAATATATGAGGTTCATATATTTCATATATTCAAATATATGAACTTCATATATTTCATTGTATGGAAACCATTCTTTATTAGAGTGGGTACGAAACAACTCAACTGAATAAGTACTAAACGATCGTGGGTACGAAACGACTGGCGACCAATTATTAAACGTGGACATTTTGAACCCTTGCAGTTCGTCAAAGCAGAGCACAGCGCTTTAGCGAAATCTTTCGATAACTAAAATATAGAGTCCTTCAGCAAGCCGCTCCTTGGCCCCTTTGAGAAAGAAGCGTTTTAAGAATTTTGCAATAGTTATGATTATACCTTCCCACCATATAAAGTGTATTGCACGGTGGCTGATGAACGTGGTATTCAAGCACGGCAGAATCAAAGATAAATGCAAAGTTCCCTCCTCGAACTCTTTTAATTCCCTCAGAGGAATTTCTGAGAATGGTTTCACTGGACTTCATGAATTCCCACATCGTAACGTATGTGGGAATGCTCGACGTCTGAAAGTACGTTTGGGTCTGACCCCTTCCAGGAATTCCGTACTCGATCTTGGTTTGGCGAGCTAAGTCCTCCACGGACTGGATTGGAGTTTGAAACCGTTGAACTATCAAGAACGATGCAAGATTCGCTGTGTATGTAGCCCCTAAAATGGTAGGTATAAAATATGACTTCAACATAATAAGTCGTGGAACAAAGGAATCTTGTCATCATGTCTTGAGAACTGACCTAAGCGAAAATTATCTAAAAGGTTAAACTGTTTTCTCATGTTTGAAACGAACCATTCTGCTTTCGGTCCTATGTTAGGCGCATAGTGGGTGACCCGTTTTAGGTGTGGTTGAGGAGTTCAGGACCATGTGTTGGACGGAATTTTCTGTTTCATAATGTGGATGAATGACTTCTATGAGCGTACATATTCAACATACCAATTATAAGGACTGCAAACCACCAAACTCCGACTGCCATTCTTCCAGAAAGCGACACGGGATGTAAAACATCCGGGCCTTGACTGACGTAATAAGCGAACGAAGACCAAATTGCGTTGAAAAACCGCAGGTGATCCTTAGCTTTGATTTCATCTTTAGAAACAGACCTTGTATCTCTGGCCTGCGCGACTCGCCCGTGATAACCATATGGACTAAATGTACTATGGACCCACAGAAACACACCAACTCCCAAGGTGGTGGATACTATAGCCAACCATAGATTAAAGTCAAATGGACGGAGGAATGAAAACACTTTATATTCACTGTCCTCCTCTTTCCTCATAATAATCGATAGGCCGACGTCCATAAAGGGCTGAGTAAAATCTATTACGGTTTGTCTGCTCGAGCTTATCGTGAACGGACCTATGGCGAGATCAGCTTTCTGAAACAGAACCCAAAGGAAGGAGATTGAACTTCAGTATTCCCTGTAGAGGTCTAACATAAAAGACATTGGAAATCACGCTTTTGCCATGTGGGATCTTAGCAAAACTGCATAAGAAGGCTAATAGTAATTGGCCTGAGATTGTCTTAGTTGAAGCAAAGCTGCCCCAAATTTCAAACTTACGTTGTCAATGAGCTTCCTAACCATCCCACTCCATTCGCCGGTAAATATATCAGGAGCTCCATACACATTATCAGGTGATTCTTCTATAGTGTATCTGAACTTCATCTTTTCCTTTAATTTATCCAGTAGGTCAATGCACAAACCCGTATATGTTTTTTCTCCAGTACTGGATTTCTTTACAAAGACAAATGGCTTCTCCTAAAGTGAACAATGTGAAAGCAACAAACTATCACGAGACACTTATCACGAGATACTATCCTGCTTAAACAAACTCTATTCTCTATTAAGCATCATTAGGTACATATACTGACAGCCTGCTACTCGAGTCACAATACCAACATTACCGGATTTTATTGAAGTTTTAATGGTATGAAGTGATCAGGAACAATGCTAGGTTTCCCAGAAGAGATGCTAGCTCACCGTCAGTTACCCGTTTTACTTCTTCAGTTCTTCTACATCTTTTCTGTCCTTTTTTGTACTCCGGTCAATTTAGTTTATAATTTTTGACGAGGGAAGCTCTGGGGAGCATCCACGCATCCAATCCTGGAATAAAACTTCGAATTTTCATTTTGGTGCCTTGCGTACTCACCTTTGGGCTCCAGCGTCCCTCACCTGCTACACATGGAAATATCAAACCCGCCTTCTCACTTACTTCCGAATGCATTCGCAAGATATTTCGGGTTTCTCTACATTCTAAACTTTGTTAGGCCCACCAATACTTTTAAGAAAGTTTAATTCACTAGGTTCACTGATTTGTAATACTTACGATGACGGTAACAACCCTTATAGTTGTGTTCTCTACTACAGTTGACGTGTCCTTGGGAACATTAATAGAACCAGAAAGCCATATCACAGGTTGTCGAGGATTCATTACAATCCCGTCTCTAGAGTTCCAATGTCCAACCTGCCATCAAAATATATCATAACAATTGAATTTGATCAACTTCAAGAGCAAGAAAGATGTAACAGGTAAAGTTTGTGGTTGGTCATCGAGTTGTTTTAGCTCTTTAACGTTTTTCACGTGCATGGGACAAAAACGTATTTGTTTCCCTAAGAGGATTTGAACCTCTGATATTTTGGGGTTTCGCAGTCAAATGAAGTGGTATTCCAAAGAAAATAAACCTAACCCTTTCTGGGCACTTTTAGTATTCAACAGATCCAAATCAAAACGATATAGATAGTTATTGGTACAGAGCGCTTTCATGCCCAAACAGTCATCATCTGATATCCTCCGTTTCTTAAGACCACATTCCTATGGCCTGCAATTGCAATTACTTTACCCCAGAAGAATGGGGACATTGCATAGCCGTAGCGCACTCAAGCACTTGCTCCTGACAAACCTCAGGTACATATATCTCTAGGCAATAAAATACTTCTATGAACGTAGCGGAAGCTTCTTATCAAAACCCCTCTTCAAGTGATACAAGAGAAATTTTCTATGACCAACGGTCAGCATATTCCAAGTTATAAATATAGAGGATTTGTCACTGAGGCGTGCTGGAGGGTTCTTCTTTCGATCATAAATTTCTGCAGTGATTTCCGCTTGATCTAGTGGGACTCATACTCAATTCCAACTAGACAGAAATATTCCCTCTTTATAGAGGATTTTGTCCTTTTTTAATGTATTACTTACATATTCAGGTGTTTTAAGGAGGTAATACTATGGCAAACCTGAATAAAACCAGTCCTTCCCAGGTTAACGATATCATACTCTGCATAAGCAGGTGAGCCATTCTCATCAAATGACAAAGATGTCATCAAGCCATCAGTGGAAATCTGCATGAATAAAAGTGTAAGGCATGTGACACAGTGAAAATGACACTCAGTAATTAACATCAAGTGTAGTTGGATTCGAGGATAAATGGCACTTACATTCTTAATATAGTCCATTAGTCTTTGACCTGGAGGCCAAGGCCGGGTAGAGATTCCTCCTTCAAAATCGAATTCAAGCGAGGCCTCCTTGACATCAAATCCGTCCTTTATCATTTTACTCAAAGCTGCTCCTACCACAAGTGCTGCGTCATAGCTCTTACCTCCTGGTATCTGTTGAACAGAAGGAAAACAATCCAATTACGTAACACTTGCGAGAATTATTATTCCTTAATGATCTCCTCAGTACCTGTATCTTAGTGTAAACAAAATTGGTTATTGATAATTTGTCATCGTCTTAACAGAGTCCAAGCAACGCTTCTTGTTACTGTGCTCTCTAAGTTCTCTACTAAAGTTATGTTAAAGGATATTGAGGAAGAGCTTACACTGACTGCAGTGTGGCCTCTCGATTTCCACACGCGAGAAAACTCTGCGTATAGTTTACCAGAGCCAGATGAAGGCCTGGTTCCGATAACACCATAAAATTCATGGAGTGGATAGTCACCAGGGACTAAGCTCCAGTCCTAGGAATGAAGAGTATCACGCAATGTTAGGACAACCATACAATGAAACAGTGGACAAGAAGAGCTACCCAGTGGAATGTCCATTGCTAAATCAGTATTTTTTTTATATTTTATTTATGATTACGGCGATCGTTGGTGCACTTAGAAGTTACAACAGTCTGTATATACTATATACAAAGCTGCTGTGGAAATGTATAAAGGCATCACGGTGTTCAGATACATAAGTTAAAGGTCTTTACAGGTGGACTTACTGTATTCGTTGAGCCATCAGTGACGATCCACACCCAGTCTTTCAGCATTCCGATTTGAAAAGCTTGTGTTAGTATAACAACTGTGTACCGTGCCATTGTGTTCAAAACAACAATCCGGGTGTGCGTTTTTCTTATCGCTTCTAGCTGTGGACCCACATCAAGGGAACCGTAGTCACTGACGGCATCAAAATGTTCGTTTGCTGTGATTTTCCATCCTTTTTTATTTGCGATGTCTTTTAAGGCTAAAAGGCCATTAATGCCTAAAGATATAGACCATAAGCGACGATTGCACTATTACATCTTTGTTATGCTGATCTGATCATACTATCAAGAGGTCTTTATTAATGTGTCCACAAATGTTTAAGCAAGAGAGCAAGAGGCTTTCAGTTAAAGCAATTTATCATTGCTCCTTTGACCAAGTGGGTAATTTTCTTACATTTTACCGCCGACTTGACAGAGGGGTGGGGGGTGGGGGAGGATAGTCCTTTATAGATGACGCTAGCATAATTTTAGGCATAATTTGAGCAAACTGGCATAGTTTCTGCCAAGTACCAATGCTAGCATAATTCCCATATTTTGATGATTATCGGATCATTTTTGATGCTACAATTTGATCATTGTTCATCTCTACTCCCAAGCACTTGGTGACGTTATTCGATTTTTTAAGTTTTAGTTTAAGTAGTAGGATTTGTAGTTCACTGTGAGTCCCTGAGCGGCGTCTGAAACGGTCTGAGCCCGAGTTTGGGTTGCACCGGAACCGGAAGTCACATTGTAGGCCATGTATAGTCTAGTACTAGTGTGTATTTTAACATGAACCACATGTTTACTTGAATTTAATTGTGGATTTGTTTCGTTTCTTTCTTGAAGACCAACGGCTTCTACTTAAGAAATGTATTTTTTGGACTTATTTGCAATTTTATCAAAGAGCATAATTTAAAAAGAAGGGGCATAATTTGAACAAAACGGCATAATTTTAGCATAATTTCGCCAAAAAAAAAGCAATGCTACTAGCATAATATGCTACTTGAACTAGCATAATCTATAAAGGCCTAGGGTAGGGGCTCGTTTGGTGTGATTTAGACGTCTGTGTAGAGATGAGTTTAAAAAAAAATATTTCCTCATTCTTTAAGATGTTTACCTCCATGGAGTATTCAAAACCTCGTACCAGGATTTCAGTTAAATAACAAGCAAACAAACAAACGAACAAATAAGCAGACAAAAGCGAAAAAAAATTAATTAAGGGTGCAACAAATGAAAAAGAAATGAAAGGAAATACAAGCAAATAACTAAGCAATCAAGGAACAATCAAACGTCGAATGATTAAAAACAAACAACGGTATACAAACCGTAATCGTCCTTAGATGTCAACAAAGATATTTGAGACCAGTTATAGTAAGAAATAAGTCCTGCCAAGGCCTGACACTGAATCGTATCGCTCGGACTGAGGCGAACAAGAAATGGAAAGTTAGCTGGTGTAAATGAAAATGTTGGGTCAGTCGCCACTGGAGCAAGCTGTGGGATGTGAAATCCAGCGCAGTATGGTTGTGTAAATTTTACACCTGTTGACGTCAGTGGTCCAACTATGGCAACCACTCCTTTCTTGATAAGATATTGCACTACCGGGAAAAAAAAATTAAAAAATGTGAATGATTTATTCTTCCTAGTCTAAAGTTTGTTTACTTAGATTCATACATGCAAGGGAAAATAGGGTTTTTTGGGTATAAATATCACTGACGGACCCGATTTACGAAGCTACTTCGTTGTTGCTAATCGATTCAGGACACAAGTGTGATGTCTTTTTTGGCAAATTTGGCGAGCGTCTGCAACATTGTGGGAGACTTTTACAACAGAAGTGCTATTTTCGTCTACAAATCAATCAAGTACCAATGTCTTTTGGCTGGCAAGAAGGCTACAAACACTTTTGTTGCCCGAATCCATCTGTTGTGAATATTTTTGTTACAACATTATGCCTACATTCACGGGTTCTAAATATCTGAATAAACCAGTGTGTTCAGACTTTATTTCGACTCCAATTTTCTTTAAAATCGATTTCAACCATAAATATCGTACATTTGTCGTCCCTCTCGCTTCAGAAACTGGTACCCATAGGATTTCGAACTGCTTTCGCCGCCATAGTAAAAGAAAAAAAATGGTAGATAGCGAGTAACTTAAGCTTCCTACGAAAGATAAACGTCAACTATCTTTATAACGTATTCCAGAACGGTCTTCAAAATATTACGGGAACGAAAATGCAAATCTGCTAGCTAGGAGATATTGCAAAACACAGGGGGTACAATTTTGGAACAGTTTATCGCTACTTTTATGGTGACGATGCAAACAAAGCTTCGACCGAGCTGATCACGAAAAATAATATACACGCTACTTGTAGAAAATGCTTGTGACCCTTAATAGGGATGATTCGGCTTATATCATCAGGATTCTATCATGTTTGACCTTCATATCCACATGTTAAACGATTATTTACTAACAGCATGGTTTCGTCTTATTTAATATGACTGCCAGGTGAAACAGCAAAAAGACATCATCCTTGGCAAACTTGAGGCCAAGATTATACGGAAATCGAAGCTGACTTTCAGATGAAGTTTCCTCAACACGATTTATAACAATTCATAACTTACCCATCTCGATGTTTTTGAAAGCATTCAGTGTTGCTGTCTTGTTAACGATCACTCTGAGTTCCGTGCTTGGTAATATTGACTTGTCACGGCTTATTGTGTCGATAGCGAGTCTGAAGGCTTCCTCGTAGTCGGTTTGAAGGCTATCAGAAAATACAGCACCTGTTTAAACAAATAAAAGAAGTTCAGCTTTGCGAAGAATAAGATTTTTCTGCATTTTAACTCTAAAACTCTATTAAAACTCATCACTAGCCTATTGTAACGAATTCTGGTGGCACGACTGCAGCAGATCCGCGAACGGGAATGTTCTGAAAATAGGCAATCATTCTAAACATAATCAAATCTAGAAAAAGTTTTCTAAGCATTGCTGACTGAAGTCTGAGTCTTCTGGAGCACTAGATTGTTTTGAACTCAAAGGTATTCTTTTAAATAAAACTTGTGATATTGATTAAAACACCGTTTGCGGAGTGATGTTGAAAAAAGTTAATTGCAAGTCGATAAGCGCGGATAGCATGCGTGGTCGGGTATAACGTTCAAAGCCGATAACTCCATCAACGCAATATTTGCATGGCCTCATACTGCATTGTTTTGAAATTAATATCGCCGGCTTAAAGAGTCACAGCTGGACTTCAATTTTTTTTATGTTTGCTTTTATTATTGTAATGCTAATTTAAAGGCTGACTTCTTTATTGAAAAACACTAATAGCTGTTCCCATCCGGCCAAAGTGTTTTTGGAAGAGTCTTCAACTTCTTTTCCACCCAATCTGACGGCACAACTTTGAAAAACTTCCTATCCGTTCCACTGTTTATGTTTGAGCAATTTAAACTCCCCCAAAAAATTTGCTTTTCTAGTCAAAATACACGTGATTTGCTAACATGTTACATGATCGCTTACCAAATAATTAAAACATTACTTTAAAAATAAATCAGACGAATTCTCTAGGTAAAATTTGTTACACTATGTTAAGGCTCATCATATATTGTTATTGTGTAAAAGAAACGTGTAAAAAATTAAACCGTTTACTTCACAAAGTCAACGCAGACGAACAAATGGACTGGTGGTCAGCTCTATTTCGTGACCTTTGAAGGGAATTTTTTGTCTTTGTTTTCAGAACTCTCAACTGTCAGCTATATTAAATTTTCCATTCTTTAACCACCGTGTACTGAGTGCGGTTTTCGTTGGTCCAATGAGCTGTTCCCTTCATGTGCATTTAAAATCCATAAGAAATACCTCCCCAGCATGAATCAATTTAAGTGAAATTTTATTTTAAAATTAACACACGGACAGTGTGAACCATAATACATTTCCCACAATAAAAATTGCCAAATTCAAAGCGAAGAAACATTTGATTTTTTTGCATTTGAATTCATCCAACTTCTCTATTTTTTAGCAAACGGAGTTCAACTTATGCTTGACCAGATCTCTTCTGTGATTGACCAACTTCAGTCCATAGATGGAAATCGTCTCTCATGTACTTGTGAACTGATAAAGAGCTCGGTTTAAGGAGATATTTGAATCACATCTTCTAGCCTAAGAGTTAATTCTAGTTGTCTGCTGTCGCGTTATACATTCAAAATGACAGCTAAAGAATAAAAAAAGCCTCATTAGGATAGTAGATTTTGATCATTTTTCGATGCGACAGATTCCCTCAATCCTAGGCAGTGTTAGAATAATAGTTCGACAAGATAAAACGTTACGGCGAGAAATAAAACAAAAAGAATATTGAGGATAACCGCGATGGTTAATAATATTGGCAGTCCAATGAACAAGCGTGCAAAGATTAGAAAAATTTCCAGATTTGCGCATGATAATCAAATCCACTACCACATATTAATTATTTTTCTCTTTTTTTGTGGGACGTGCATTAACGACTCCATCTTGGCCAAGGTTACAATCTCTATTTGAAATTTCGCTCCTCTCTGTAGGGAGAATCATTTTTTTCCCTTTTTCATTTATTTATTGTGAATTGTTTTCCTAGTTTTCCAGATGGCGAATGATTACAAAGTACATTTGAAACAAAACCGAAAAACTGCTGTATTTCAAGATTTCGATATAATTATCCTTCATTGAAATCTGACAAAGAGCTTATACATTATTAATCGTAATATTGATTGCAGTGCTTCAAAAATAAAATACAATAAAGAAAGAATGGAAATATACAAAAATGAAATAAAAATGTTATGGCTCCCGCTTCAGGCTGAGGTCAGTTCATTTGTTTTGTCATTTATCTTCAAATTGAAGTACTATTTGTTCGAATTTAACTCAAGGAACTCTTTGGACCTGGCCATATTTCAACTGTTTACGTCCCTCATATTCAAGCTGGTTAGGTAAGATTCAGCTTAGTTAACACATCTAAGATGTTCAACGCTTAAACAATCGGTTCAAAACTGTTTTATTAATGCATCTTACTCATCCTGAAAAAAAAAATACAGTTCATGAGATTATAAGCCTCTTGTAAAATTTTAAAACCATTTTGAAATTGCCCAGCTTTTTTCACAAGCATTTGAATCGTAACGACAGATCACAAATCAGCTCAATTTGATTCCATCTCGCGTAACTTCTAGAGTTTTGTCCATAATGTTCACTTAATAAGAAATATTATATATACAAGGCTAAAAAGTTTAAAAAAAAGGTTACAACCAAACGTTTTCAGCTGTTTGCCACCATCTGAGTGATGATGGCAAACAGCCGATGATGATGGTAAACAGATGAAAACGTTTGGTTTTAACCTTTTTCAACTTTTTAGCCTTGTATATATAATATTTCGAGAGTTTTCTCAGTAACTCTGGACGTTTCTTTACTAGTATGCTTTATTAACTTCATTAGGAACCCTCCTACCATCTGTTGCTGAAAGAAGTCATTAATGTAAGTTTGCATCTCTGTATGTACTTTATCCCAAAGGTTTATTTTCTTTTAATCACCAGATGCTCGCGTCTTGCCCGCGAAAGATCTGACAAACAACTTGTTTTATCTGTAAAATATGATATAAATTGCTTTCAAGTGTATCTGTAAAAAATTTTTTGCGACTCCATCATAACTTAAGGGGAGTCTTTCATCTGATGCCAGAAGGTTTTTACTTTGATGTCAAGATGCAAAAATCAAGCTTCTTGGTAGTTCAGTTTATGCTTTTCGCCTGAGATTGTGAAATAACTTTATTTAGTAAAAATTACACAAAAGAAGCTGTAAGCACCTAAAGAAACTTGGTAAAAGTACCCTTTTTAGAAAATATGGATATTTCTACACTACCTTAGGCGAAAATACGCGAAAATAAGAGTTGAATCTTAGTATTACGTAGGTTAGAAAACATTATGGATTTACAAAGAGACTGTCTAAAAAAAGTGGTAAACATTGACTGCAGTACGTTTGAAAAAGAACGTAAACAACAACACAAGTAGCTAAGAATAACTAATAAGCACGTATTCAGTTATTCTTTCTGGTTGTAGACCCCTAGATAACAGTTACTATTACAGATGAAAAATACTTTCATTGTTTAAATTTGGTAGCTGACAATGAAATATTCAAAATTTAGCATGATGCTCTCAAACTTGGAAACATTAACATCATTTCGCCTGCATAAGTTTCATCTCGGGTTTTGTAAAAATTTATTACGTAACATTATCAGTTACTAGGAATTCCAATGAGGTGATGCAAAATTACGTTCCTATTTTGGTTATTATGTGCTCTGCACAGTTTCCCCACGTCTTCAGAAAATGTCGACCATCCACTTAGTCAATAAACAGCTACCACCTATATGGTCACGTGATGTCCACAAGGATTGTCTCCAGCCTGTCTGAGTGTGTGACCATGTGTATAACTGCGTTGCGCTGCAAAAGTTTGAACTTCCTTTCAATTGATAAGCCATGCGACTTGAATGACTAAGACAGACATACTCACCCAAACGATTATGGACCCAAAGAAGGATATATTTACATGGATATGTTTACGACAGTTAAGAAGGTTTGTTTTTTTCATATATTTATTCCTGGTATTAAAACAAGAGGTTCCGAAATTCAGAAGGCACTATTGCTATGACCGTTTGATATCATATCTTTATTTCACTGTCCCCCTTTTTTTTAGTTTGATAAAAAAAAAAAATGTTAAGAATGAAAATATACTAGATTTTCACGCTCGATAAGAGAACAATAATGAAATTTGCAATTCTTTTGTTCGACTCGAGAACTTAGCTTAAATTATATCTTACAATTTCTCTTATTCGCTTTAAGTCCTGTGCAGAAATACAGCAGGTATGGCCCGAGGCAAAGAGTGGATATTATTGGATAAAGATTGGGAGCAGAGAAGCTCAAGTCTATTGTGTTATGACAAGTTATGGTAAGTAAATAAAGTAGGTTGTTGGTGTTTGGACTTTGGTAATAACCATCAGTTGGAAGGAAAACAATGATCACCTTCACAGCGCTGAAGTGAATTGTCTTGATTCAAAACTGTGTGCCCTTTTTATTGAGAAGAGCTTCACAGCGCGAGAAAAAAATACGAAGAAAAAGTTCCAAGACGAGTTTACTCAGTTCATTCGTTAACAATTTAATTTTTTACCGAAAATAAAGGGAAAAAATCTTCATTAAGGAGCCTTACATTTGGGCGGTATCAAAATCTATGTGGTCTCTTTTCCTAGTTCGTTTGCTGTTTTTGGTCCTGATGGATTATCAATTTCATCAATTCAGCCAATTTTAACGTAAAAACGGAACATGTTTCAATGAATCTTATCTTTCTATTCCTTTTCAATTAGGTCAGAAAACTACTCAGACGGTGATATCACGTGATGCGACGTGTTAACGCTTGTAGCTCGAATTTAACTTTCACAATTTACATCAGTTAATAACCTGTTAGGATCATAAGTAAAAGCTAATTTCAAATAAAAAGTTAAAGAAGGGAAAAAGAAAAAAATTACTCGATGCCGGAATAGGTAAAGAGAAATCTTTAAAGCTAACTTCGATTAAAGATAAAGATGATTGACCAGGAAGCAGGTTGAGGAAAAAATCAAACAGAAAAAAAAAAGAAAAAAAAAAGAAAACTGTCTAGCAGTTGGGTAGGAGACTACCTGACTATAGACAATGTGTTGCTGTTTTATTGTCTTAATTTGAAAATTGTCATCCATTCACTTATTTTTGTTTGCAAACAGTTACTTAATAAACTGTCTTATTTCTCAGTTAGTTTAGAATCATTCGAAAGCTGGAACTCCATACTATATCTCCCTGCTGACTTTATTTTCACGGAATTGTTATCTTAGTTCTCAATTCTGACATAACATAGGTGGTGGTTGGACTTTGGTAGCAACCATCAGTTGCAAGGAAAACAGTCACCTTCACAGCACTGAAGTAAACTGTCTTGACTCAAAACTGTGTGTCCCTTTTACTGATAAGAACATTTCAGCGAAAAACTACGAGACAGTGACATTCACAAAGTGCTCCATTTTGAAGGTAAGCTATTAAATACAATTAGGTCAAGCAAGAGTATCTTACCCCCGGGTTCAAACCATTTACTGCAGTATCTTAAATGTTTGCAAAGATTTAATCAGTTGAATTGAGCAATCATTTTTCGGTGCGTAATGTCGAAATCATTCGAGGTTATGCGTGAGCCATCTATAAGTCAGGCTAGGATTACTTGTAGACTGATTTTTTGTCATGACCTGCTTATTTAACTGAAAAAAGGTTTTTTAAGAGGTCGACAAACCTACCCAAGACAAGCTATTAATGAACAATATCACATCCACCTACAAAGAAGCTAACACTGACGTCATCCGTAACATCAACAACGAAGCTAAAGACATCGCCGCTAACCTCAAAATCGACGACAGAGCTGAATGCATGACAGATCGGCAAGCATTTATTACATTAAAAGACCATAAAGACAACTTCCAGAACAAACCTATATGCCGACTCATTAACCCAGCCAAGAGCGAAATCGGACGAATAAGTAAAGAGATACTCGAAAACATTAACACTACTCTCAGACAAAAAACGGGACTCAACCAGTGAAGAACTCAGCCTCTGTCATCAACTGGTGCTCCGAAATTCAACACAAGAACCTTCACACTTTTACTGTCTTGGACGTAGAAAACTTCTACCCTTCCATCTCAGAGAAACTTCTAACAGACTCCATCAACTTCGCCAAACAATACATTAATATACCAGACCGCGACGTTTACATTATTATGCAGTCAAGAAAATCGATACTTTTCAACAACGGCACAGCATGGATAGAGAAAGATAACGGCTTCTTGGACGTTACGATGGACTGTTACGACGGTGCGGAAGTTTGCGAGCTTGTTGGATTATTCATTCTTAGCGGTTTATGTAACACCTACGGAAAGGAAAGCATTGGACTGTACAGAGACGACGGACTCGCCGTATTCAAGAACACCCCGGGACCACAAGCCGAAAGAATTAGAAAGGACATCGATAAACACTTCAAAAACCACGGACAGAACATCACCATTCAAACTAACCTCAAGATTGTCAACTATCTCGACGTCACATTCAACCTCAACAACGGAACATTCTACCCATACAGAAAGCCTAACAACCAGCCTTTATGCATCAACGCCAAGTCTAATCACCCCTAACATTATCAAGCAGCTACCCGACTCCATTAATCATAGAATTTCTGAAATTTCCTGCAAGGAAGACGAATTCAACAAAGCAAACACTATCTATTACACCGCCCTCCAATCAAGTGGATCCACAGAAACTCTGTCATACAACAAACACAAACAGACCGCACGACCTAGGACCGCATCTCAAGGACCGCAAAAGAAACATCATCTGGTACGACCCCCTTTCAGCAGCAGCGTGAAAACCAGCATCGGAAGAACCTTTCTAAAACTTGTATCCAAGCACTTCCCCCGACATCACAAGCACCACACCTTATTCAACAAAAACAACGTCAAAGTGACCTACAGTTGCATGGCGAACATGGGAGCCATTATCACCAAACACAACAAGAAAGTTCTCTCTAAAAACGACACCCACGGCCGCAACAACAACAGCCTATGCAACTGCAGATCAAAAGGAACCTGCCCACTTGACAATATATGCCTAACCTCCAGCCTTATTTATGACGCCCAAGTAACGTCTTCGACAGATAACACTACTACCACTAAGAACTACATCGGCCTGACTGAAGGAACTTTTAAACAGAGATATACACAGCACAAGGCAACATTCAACCACATACCAAATGCTCTTGCAGTACTGGACTCTCGAAACACGTCTGGCATCTCAAGGACAACACGATTAACTTTAATATTAAATGGTCTATCATCGCAAGAGCTACCCCCTACAAGAATTCCAGCAAACGATGGACCTTTGCTTGACTGAAAAGCTTATGATCATCAAACACAATAACTGCAATCTCGTAAACAAACGTTCTGAACTCATATCCAAGTGTCCAAGTGTCGAAATGAACACAAATTTTATCTAAAGAACAATTGACACTCTCCTACTACAATAGTCTTTGTATTACTATTATCCAACGCCCCATTGTTGTAATCACTGCCTTTTCACCTCAATATTACGCCTCTCTCACGTATTGTAAAGATCACGCCACAATTACCTATTGTTTTTACCACTTATTGTAAATATAATATAAACTAGCAGATAGGATTGCTTCTTCATTAAATCTGGCTGATGAGTGCTTAACGCACGAAACTCAGCGTTGCAGCGAATCATGTGTGTTTCCTTCTTGTCACTTATAATACAAAATACATAAACATCCCTTGGGTTGACGATCTATGTGTCTCTAGCAAACAAAAAGTAACCGAGAACAAAATAATTGTTTTGCAAAAATGCCAGAAGGTAACTAACTAGTCAGAAAAACTGACAGATTTCTTCAGCATATGCCCCTACTACGTTTTTTGGACCTGAGTGTGAGCAGTGTTTAATAACAGTGAACCACTTGGAATTTCTGCGGTGATTGTTTATGGTAAAGAGATTCGTGGCCGAAACTGCAGCACGGTTTTTTTCTAATCTCAGATATTTTCCAGCTTTCCTAAAGATTTTTCCTAAATATTTTGGTTCAAGTAAATCAAATTCGGTCTTCGCTTCTTATTCGGACAGCAAAATGCTTTTTCTTCTGTTGCGGAAAGTAACAAAAGGGCGAGGGGGAGGGGTACTGATATGCACATAATGACAATAATTGCCTTTGCATAATTTCCCACCTCTAACTTTGATACTGTTTTTATTCAGGAACCTTCAGAGTTGATGTTCTGGGAAAACCTTTTCAATCCACAATTTTTTATCAGGTACAATTGTATGCATGTTCGAGTTATAAAAACTTGTCTCTTGTTGACGATCCACCATAACCAATTAACTTCTCCTTTACATGTGACTTTAGATTCCGAGTGGTTCACAAAAATTTGATTCCTCATGCGTCGGAAGATCGTAAGTTGTATTTAAATTTACTGTAGTCGGCTTGCCAATCAAAGTTGGCGATGGAGTATTTTAGGTTCGCCTTTATTTGTGTCTAAAAAAGGGCGACCATACTTTTTAGGGCAAGACAGTAGCGCTTACCATGTACATGTACTGCATATAGCTGTAACCCTAAAACATACCTTCTCCATACCGAGGGGGGGTCGATGTAGATGCTTGCCCGTCCAAAAAATTGGGCGTGTTTGGGAAAACGTTGCATAAAGTGTTTCCATCGTGTGCTTCCGAAATCGGCAATAAACACCCTTTTGCACTTTTCAGGGAATAACGATGAAATGTAAATGACTGATACGATGATGGTAAAAAAGAATGACAATAGAAAAACTAAAAATGATGATGATAACGATGATATTGATAAAAATAAACAGCGAAAAAGCTCATCACCGTGGAATAATCGATAATTTAGGGATAATGAATAAAAATGAATATGTGTGGTAAGATAATTGTCGGATGTCACAGAGGTAACACAAAAAAAAAAAAAAACATCAAAACTCGTTTTTTGACCCACTTCCGAAGTTTGGTTGTTATGTCTCAGGACAGAGTTAGTCTGAATTTCTTTCTTATTCACCCCTTGAACCAGAAATGATGGCTGTATCCAGTTACTTTACGTTAATGAAATCGTCAGTTGGTTTTCTTTATATCAATTATTTTATTACTTTCACCACTATTTATTTTCTGGCTCTTAGTGTTCGATGGACATGACGATGGTGAGTGTGGCATTGTTTGACATTCATCACATTGTAAGAATGAATGAAGGTTTTTCTGATCATTCTTTCCTTAAGTACAACGAAGTCTAAACTTGAGTAATGTAGTACACGCATTTCAGCAATTTTAAAAGTACGCATTGCAGTAAATTCAAAAGTTTCATTGAGGTCTCTATCGCCCATCTAAGGCAGGATAAAAAGGGTTGCTGGAGCCAGTCACAGATCCCTGCGTTGCTGCGTTTGACAGTGGGCGAAGCTCCTTAACTCAAACAATTCCTTCCTAACGCGTCTTAGCTGCCAAGTTGATTACCATCTTATGGCTTGTGACTGTAATTTGTAGATAAATGTACTGTGTACGAAAATGAAAAAAAGAGAAAAAAATTACATTTAGCGGGAGTACGTAGCTACACTTGTCAGTTCCGATTCTCTTTCACGAAAGCGAAGTGATTTACTAAAGTAGAACCATGAACTCAAACAATCCCTGAAATATTTCCAACTTTATCTAATTTTTTCAACAGACCCTGGAAGACGAGCACTGTATGGTTATCCACTATGCTATCGAAACAGTCATGGAATCTTCCTCAACAAGTCCGGAATGTTGTTTGTGAAGTAACTCTACCTCAAAGGAATGTGACAGACAAAATGTCAGAGAGGGAAAAGCACGCTTAGCCATTACTTAAGAGCAAAAAGTTGCATCCTCAAAATAAAATCACGCGAAATTTGTCTTTTCATTGTAAGTAAGCCTTGTCATAACGCATTGCTATACCTTACAAGAAAAGGAAATATGTTTGCTTTCTTTTGATCAAAGTTAGCCTATGTGGTGTGGCGTATATCGCCTCTTACGATAACATTGCAACATTGAAAGCAATAGGTGGTTTGCAACCATTCTCAAGAGAAACAGGTAACGACGGTGAAAGGAACAAATGCTGGTGGACGAACAAAAGAAACTAATGAGATATCTATTGTTTACGTCCACCAACATGGCGGCGATGTCGTAAGGTGCAAACCACCTACAAAACGTATGATCGAGCTTTTGTATTTTATTTTCTTTTTCAACCGAATAAAACTTAAACTTGACCAGAAAATCTGTGTGATTAGCAAACTCCAGTTCATAGATCAGAATAATTATCTTTTCTAGCCTCTAAACATCTATTTGTAAATTAGTGTAGAGGATATCTTCAGCTTATAGATTTCACGCATGTCGACGCGTCCTCTTGGCAATAAGTCTCTCTCGCCTGTCGCTGTGTTTTGCATTGTAACTGAAAGTGAGAACTGTGATAGAGAGGCCTCATTAAGGTATTTGATCATTTTCCATCGCAACAGATTCCCCTGCCCAATATTACATTGTTTATTTGAATTTTCGCTCTTGAATGAAGGGAACAACATTTTTGAACATTCATTTCTTGTGACTTTTTTTTATCGTATTCCTGCTGGAAAGTGATTGGGACCACATCTGAAACAAAAAGGAAACACTACTGTATTTCTAGATCTCGTTACATATAAGTATACTTCACTGAAATCTGAATTAAAGCTCATAAATTATTCAATAATATATGATTACTTTTGTTCCTTTGAAGTTCCGCTCCTTATTGTTGAGAATAACATTTAAATAATTTATTTCTCGTTACTTTTTTTTATAGTATTCGTGCTGGAGTTAAATGAGGACCACACTTGAAACAAACAAAAAAAAGTCTATTGAATTTCAATATCTCGCTACAAATAAGTACACTTCACTTTGAAATCTAAATTAAATCATATTAATTATTGATTATAGCTTTGATTGCTGTATTTCGAAACAAAATTGATAAAAAGTGAAAAGAATAGAACAGAATTGAAAAACTATAGCTCCCATAAGGGGTTGCGTTATCGTTGAGTTGAAAGTAGGTTCACTCTTTTTCTTTCTATTTCACTTCTAAAAGTAATTGCACTATTACCTTTTCAAGTTTAAAACAATAGATGCTGGGAATTACGCGCAAGCCATCTTCCCCGAGCTATATTTTCACGGTTTACATTCCTAACGTACAAGCTGGGTACAATTCAGTTTAGTTAACAAATAACCCTGATGTTCAATAGTACAATAGATTCAAAACTGATTTCTCAGCGTAACTTAATTATCCTGGGAAAAAGAATAGAAATAGAATTTTTATGAGTGTTATGAAATTGCCTGGGTTTTCCAGAAGCATTTTTAATTAAAATGAAATGATCACCTATCTACTTCATTTGTTCCTTTCCCGCGTAATTTAGAAAGCTTTTTTCAGTAACTTCAAATCTCATTATTATTAGTATACTTAATTAGTTATGTTATGAGTTCTCCTGCCATCTGTCGCTAAAAGAAGTCACTGACGTAAGCTTCAGTTTCTCCATGTGCTTAATTTCAAAGGTTTATTGATTCTAAATTACTTGATGCTCGGAAATGGGAAACAGCCTGATCTATCTTTGAAATACAACAAATATTTCTCACTTCATCGAAAGAAAAGCCTAAGTGTAGTTGAATTGCCTTTTTTATGTCATGTTTAATTCAGAATGCTTCTCCTGAATTCACGATAATCTTTACGCCTGGGTTCGTGAAAAAACGCCATATAATCATACCTGAAATCAGTTAGACTATCCTTGCTTAAAGCTCCCGTAGAAACTCGATCTTCGATAGCTTGAGTTAAGCAAAGCCGACTTTTCATCATTACTCAAGTTGGGAATCAAGAAGGAGGAATCCTGGTCTGGCTTTTCTCCGCGAATTTAAGCGGCTGAAATGTAGGGCTCCTAACAAATTTGCATGGCTTAAACTTCAATAGGTTGGGGAAAAAAAGTAAAACTATGAACGAATAACTAAATAAGGATCTATTTATCTGTCGGTCCTTGGTTGCAAGATGTAGAACCTAGCATAACATCGTGACAGGTGAAAATGATGTCAACTATAGAATAAACTGTTTACGATATATCCAAGTTTTGTAGTCGACAGTACATTCGAAATTTAGCAATTCTTCTCTTAGAAAAACATCATTTCACCAGCAAATTTAAATCACAGGTCTTTTAAAACCTTATAATTTGGATATATCAACAAAGTTGAAATGGTAAATTGGCCACCGTAAAAGCTGACAAAAGCTGACGTTTCGAGCGTTAGCCCTTCGTCGGAGCGAATAGAGGAATTGTGGGTTGTGTGTGCTTTTAAAGGCAGAAAAATATTACACTGTCATTCCTAATGACGAAGACCTTCTAGCCCCTAAACATTTTTTTGATCAAGGCACTGTTAAGGAACCTAAATCTGAAACACTGCTACGCTTAGCCGAACTAGTGCTCACACTCAATTGTTTTTCATTTGGAAACAACTTCTTCAAACAAACCAATGGCGTAGCGATGGGCACCAAAATGGGACCTAGCTATGCCAGTCTTTTTGTAGGCTTTGTCGAACATCAATTTTTCAGCCAATACAACGGGTCCGAACCTGAACTCTACGGTCGCTACATCGACGACTGTATCGGTGCTACTATATATTTGAACTGCGGTTAAAGAACAAGTAGAAGGCAGCATGGTCCAGTGGTCAGCATGTCGGACTTGCAATCCGTCGCTTCCGGGTTCAAGTCCCGCCCTGGCCACTTCTTTGTTTTGTTTCACGGTAGTCCCGAGTTTCAAATCCTCGGCCATGCTTGTAATATAGCCAACTGGTTTGCCTTTGACCAGTTGGGATTCTTAACAACGTTAGGAATTATTTGAATTATTTGTTTAAGTTGTTATTAAAAAGACATTTTTTTCAGGCCTCATTTTCACTACTGCTTAAGTAGTGTTTGTTACTGCGAAGATCACTCGTTCTTTAACCGCACTTCGATATATGACTTTCATATATTCACAAACGTTACAGAGTCAAGTTATCCCATTCGGTCATTTTCTTTTTTTGTTTGGTTGTTTTTACTGCGTTCAGTTTTGATCACTTTGTATAGATAAGTTAAAACAACTAAATCATTGTAACCAATTTAATCAGTTTAATCGATATAAAAGAGAGACAATGTTTCAAACTGTCCCGACTGGTCTTCCTTGCCAGTAAAGTTTCAGGAAGATAACCCAAAGAAAGAGCAGTCATTAAGATCCTAAATGTTAGGGCGAACAGTACACTTAATAAAATGTTGTGTAAATAAGGAATAGTTTGACACATAACTGCATGAATGAATAAATAAGATTTTTCAACCCGAGTCAGTTAGTTAAATGAGATTTTCATAGGAATGTTTCCAACTCCGGGTTTCTCTTCTGATTCTACTTATCATGAAATTGTTATCCATTTTCTGAAATGCCGTCATAATATAGGTGGTGGTTGGACTTTGGTAGTGACAATCAGTTCTACGAAAAACGATCATCTTGAAAGCGCTGAAGTAAATTGTCTCAAGTCAAAGCTGTGCGTTCCGCTAGCTGAGAACGATATCACAGCGCGAAAACTACGAGACAAAGACATACGTGAAGTTTTACATTTTGAAGTTAACGCTATAAAACGTAGAAACTTTAAGAAAAAGAAACCGAAACTGTACCAAAATCTGGCGATTCCGATGTCCTTGTGAAACGAAATTCGAAAGTAGCTCGGATCTTTGCAGGGGATATCATTGAGCCTATTACTAATTTAGGCTCAAAATACTCACAAACGCTCTCTTTTCTGCACTAGTTATTTCCAAGTTGTTACTAAAATCCGTCCCCCTTGCAGTGATGTGAGCTTAAATACAGCAGAGTGTACACTTTTGCACTCTTAACTTTGGTAATTATTTCTATATAGGGACCTTTCGAGTTAATGTTCTGGAAAAAAACGTCAATTACACTATTTTTTACCAGGTACAATTGTATACTTTCTTAACTTAAGCTTAAGTCTCTTGCTAAATAATAATGCATATAATAAGTATAATGATGTAACTACCTCTTAATACTTTATTTTAGATTCGAAGTGGTCCAGAAAACTTAAGTTCAACAAGCGGTCACGGATCGTAAGTTTTGTCGTAATGATAGCAATTATTTATTGTCATTTCGATCCCTGCTTAAAAGAGCTCATCCATAATTCCTCAAGTGACTCCCTAGTCCTAAACATAGGGGGTTGACATACCAAGGAATTGTGCGAGTTTGCAAAAAATTTGCGTGAAACGGTTTGCTTTGTGAGTGGGAAAATTCTAACCCCTTAGCAACTTTCATATGAGAAGAGCGGAAACAGATAAAAATAATTGGTGTGCAAAGATAACGACGGAAATGAAAACTACGACAACTACGGCGACAGCGATAACAATGACTGGAGCAATAATGATGACGAAAATGATCACGATGAAGATAGTAGTAACGATAATGATGAAAACTTAACAATGATAAAAATTGAATCATTTTGGGTATGAGACCTGAAAATAAGCTTGAATTTTAACTTGATTTGAAATATTCAGGACCAGTTCTTTACACGAAGTCTAACCTAAACAACGGTTTTATGCAATCAGCAGTGGGCTTCAGGCTTTCTCTGTAAGAGTGTCGATTTAATTTAATGAATGTCCTTCCGCTGTTAGCTTTCGGCCCCCTTGACACTGTTCACACAGGTAAATGTTCAGGTAAAAGGTTGAGCGAAATTGAGGATTGAGGAGGTTTTGTTAACGGCTAAATTTTGTTTGAATAATCAGACCTTAATATTTAAGAGGATTAATTGAAAAGATATGAATTCAACAATTATTCCCCCTCTCAATAAGTCAATAAGTACATAGAATTAACACTAACGTAGTGTCCTCAATTTCAAACCATGCAGCAGCTAAAACTCAGGGTTTAGATCATCACCTCATATTCCCCATTCTACCCGGATAAGGAAGGTTTTTTTGCTTTCCAAAGCAAAACTCTTTTCTGTGCTCTTTATAAAGGATTAACTCAGATGGATAAAGTAGATAGAAAAAGAGAGGCTATTGTATTTTGTTCCGCCTTTATTTTTGTCAAATACAGGTGTCCACGCATAATCATTTCTCATCCTTTTCCTTATCAATGGGAGACAAACGATTGTAAAAACATTGACGTCGGGGACCACATTTTCCCCGATTGCCACAGAGGTAATAGAATTGATGAAATATGATGATCATGAGGATTTAGGTGCTCTCGTCCTCGTCTTCAATGAAGCTTAAAAGACCTAGAATAACCAGAGATATTTAATTAATTCAGGGACGGAATGAAGCAAATCCAGAAAGGTAAATTTTTGGAAGCTAACTACAAAGTTTTATTCGAGAAAGGAATTGTTAATAATACAAAGTTGTAAGTAGCTGGAGAGAACTATTCACGAAAATAAGAGTTTAGTTTTAACGAGATTTGAGCGCCAGTTTACGACACACGCAAAGTCAATCTTAGAGGCTTACACTGCAGAAAAAGAATAAAAATGCCACCCTGGGGCGTAAGTAAGTTCTCATTTTAAATAGCACCTCTTTATACTTGCTTAATCCACTTATCTTGACTCTTTTTGTTTGTGGTCATTAGTCTTCGACGGACATGACCATCTTGAGTGTGGCTATCGATGGTATTCATCAAAATGTAGGAGTAATTTATTCCTATTCCAAATGAATCCTTATTCATAGACGATTTATGAATGATTTTCAACCCTTCACCCCCTCCCCTCCCAACATCAGTACGCATATCCGCCATAGTACTTTGAGTACATTCCCCAAGGTTCTGACCATGACCATTTTTATTGAACATTTGTGTAGTTATATAGCTATTTCACTCCCACTATATTTGTTTGATTACATGAAAGAAGCGTTGTTTGTTATTCACACGTTGAACTTGCATAGCAACAAAGTCAAATAAATTCCGTACGTCAACGTCCAAAATAAAGTTTTCAGTGGAAATCGAACTCCTGAAATGAGAGGCGAACGAACATGCGTTAATACCTCAAAAGTAAAATTCCATTCCTCTAGTCATTTGTAATTACAATTATTTTGAACGTTGGCGAACTGGCATATAAGCGTTAGTGAATTGACATTAGCTGTTGGAGAATCGGCCTCATACGTTGACGAACGTACTGTTTGTTGGCGAACTGACACGTTGGCTAACTAGCTCGTTGACGAAGTCACACGTTAGCGAACTGACACGTTGGCGAAACGACTGCTTACCTATGTCTCGATCTATCGCTAGTCCCTCTTAGGGCTCAAAGGGTTAGACCTATATAAACTCGAACCGGAAAACGTTTTTAACATGTTCTTAGAAGCTTTATTATTGTTTCCGACTAAGTTCGCTGGGCTGCAAACTGAGTTGTTGCTCGGTGTGTCATACAATAACAAAGAGCGCATTGTTAGTATTAGCAATGTCCCTGTAGTATTTGAGTCAATCGTCCTGTTAGACCACAATTTTACACCTGTATTTATGCTTATCACTGGAAAAACAAAAAAACGCAAATAAAACAAAGAACAAAAGAAAACAAAACAAAAAAACAAAACAAAAAAGAAAACAAAAGGGAAACTAGCAAAGACGCTCCTAACTGACTCAGCATAGTTATTTTCATAGTAGGTTCTTAAAACGTCCTTATAAAAAATTTTATTCTATGATAATATAATAACAATAATGATAATGATAATAATAATAATAATGATAAAAAAAGTTTAGCATTTTTTATGGTGGGAGAAGCGATGGTAGTAGCTAATCGCAAGAGCCTGACTGTTCTGCTCTGTTCTTGAGTGTAACTTGAGATGTGTTTATTTTCTACCTCGTCTTACTTGACCAGATGTAACATCTTCTGTGCTAGATTAACGTTTCAGCCAGGGGGAGTACCAAACTATGAAAAATGCGATGGCGAATCACGTGCTAAGCATTTGACTTCCATATTTCTTTCCGTTTAAAAACAGACCCTGAAAGACGAGCCTTGTATGGTTGTTGCTACGGCAATCATGGAATCTACCAGGACAACTCAGGAATGATGTTTGTAAAATAACCCTACATAGAGAAATATGGTGAATTATGTCAGCATCTTATGAATTAGTCAAAAACATAGTTTCTAGCATTCGATATCACAACATCTGGGAGAGAAATGTTCGCAATTACTTTTCATTTTATTTTCTTTGCTTTTTCTTTTGATAAGAACAATACATTTATAACTGATTTGAAAATTAGGCAAAGCTATGTATTGATCGAATTTGACGAGCTTAACATTCTGTCATCATGACCGGACAATATTTTTCAATCAATGAAATCTTATTTCGGAAAAAAGATTCCGATTAAAAAAGAATCAAGAATGACTTGTTTACTCCGAGAGCTGGAAAGAATGACAACTATGTTTACAGCACAATAAACCTGCGAGTTTATGTTTTCTTTGTTCTGATTGCCTTCTGCTCTTCTGCAACTCTGTCTCTGAAATTTTTGAAAAAATGACGAACTTTTTAATCTTTAAGTCCGCTCTAAACAGCTTATTTTTCTTTCGCAGGATCAGTCGGGCAAAAATGGGCCCTTCCTGCCCGCTCAGGTAGCCACGGTATCCCTTCATGTTGTCCACGGGCGCTGCCAGCTTTATTGAGTAAAAGAGGTTAATACGTTTGCATGTGCCCCTCCAGATAAAGGTTCCTCCATTTACCCGTGGTTAAAACCTCCCTTAATCATTTTGCCTCACGGTTATCACATTTTAATGCCAAGTGTGACTTTGAACTCAATGAATGTGCTGATTCACCCGAAGGCTCGGAGATCGAAAACTGAAACTTCTGTGATGGCCAATTCTTTTAACTGCCAATACCATGGCTGGTATTAATTCTGAACAAGTCACTGAGTAACAATGTTTATGCAGCACGACTAGTCTATTAACTCTGGTCTGTTAAGATTCTATATCTTCGAAATGGAAACCACGTAAGGAAAATGCTTTGAGCTTACCAATTGTGAAACATAAAGCTTTGTATTCTAACCAGGCCTGACTCTGACCGTGCTTTGTTCGGAAAGGTTCGTTCACTATAATTATTTTTGAAGATGTACAACAGGCGCATGACAATGTAACAAAAAGGTCTAAGCAGCGGTGCAGTCAACAGGTGAATTCAATTCGAAGCACAATCAAGAATGAACCCTTCACCATTAGTGAACAAAGAAGCCTGGCCAACAAGGAAATGGTTGTAAATAAATGGCTTAGCCCAAATGCGCGAGAATATAACTGGCGATCAGTGCTGTGACGCTATGTGGGAACTTGAAAGTTGTGATGCGGTTAGTTCCACGAGCAGTCAAGATATACCAAATTAAATCTTGTTTTCTTATTGCTTACCCGAGCGGACCCATATTTCTTAGATCAACCCTAGCAGGCCCTCGATATCACGGCTACCATGCAAGCGTTTCTTTGTTACTGATTAATTATACGGTAAGGCCTGGGGCAGAGCAAGCCGGCAAGAAGTCTGAAAGCAATCAGACGCCTTGGAGATTTCTCGTCGGCTCGCTTTGCCGCAGGTCTCATTCCTTCTCTTGAGCGTAGAAGCATCCATGCCGTAGCGCTGATACTGAGGACTTTCCCACGGTCTGTATAAATCTTGATGTATTGAGTATTTGTGACATAAAACAGCTTCTAAATAGAAGTCACATTCTTCTCCGTTCCGTGTCAGGAGCTCGAGTGTCTGTGAATAATATTTTATCAACGGTGCAACATACCGCCGGCCAAAGTGCGACGCCGGAAATAACTGAGCCTAGTCGTTAAGTTGAAAGTAAGTTCACTGTTTTTCTTTTTATCTCACTTCTAAGAGTAATTGCACTACTACTTGTTCAAGTTTAAAACAATAGGCATTAGGACTTTACGCTCAAGCCATCTTCCGCAGGCGATATTTTCACGGTTTACATCCCTCACATGCAAGCTGGTTACAATTCAGCTTAGTAAACAAACATCCCTGTTGTTCAACAGTACAACAGTACAATAGATTCAAAACTATTTTGTTAGCGTAACTTAATCATCCTGGGGAAAAGAATAGAAATAGAATTATCACTGTTATAAAATTGCTTAAGTTTTCCCGAAGCATTTTAAATTAAAATGAAACGATCACATATCTACTTCTTTTGTTCCTTTCCCGCGTAATCGAGGAAAACTTTTCGAGTAACTTCTACAATTTTATCATCATTGGTATACTTAATTAGCTAGTATGTTATAAGTTCTCCTACCATCTGTCGCTTAAAGAAGTCACTCAAAAGAGATAAGTTTGAATTTCTCTTTGTGCTAATTTCAAAGGTTTATTCATTTTTAATTACTCAATGCTGGGAAATGGGAAACAGTCTGGTCTGTTTCTGAAATATAACAAATAACCTCCCACTTCATGGAAAAAAAAGCCTAAGTGTATTTGAAGTGCTTTCTTCATGCCAGAAGGTTTGTAATTTGTCGTCAAGTTTAATTCAGAATGCTTCTCCTGAGTTCACGACAATCTTTTCGACTGGGTTCGTGAAAAAAACTCCATATAATCATGCCTGAAATCAGTTAGGCTATCGTAGCCTAAACCTCCAGTAGAAACTCGATCTTCTATAGTTTAATTTAAGCAAAGTCCACTCTTTTTCCATTACTCAGGTTGGGAATCAAGAAGGAGGAATCCTGGTTTAGCTTTTCTCCGCGAATTTAAGCGACTGAAATGTAGGGCTCCTAACAAATTTACATGGCTTAAACTTCAATAGGTTGGGGAAAAAAAGGAAAACTATGAACGAATGACTAAATAAACTTCTATTTATCTATTGATCCTTGGTTGCAAGATGTAGAACCTAGCATAACATCATGACAAGTGAAAACGATGTCAATTATAAAATATATTGTTTTACGATATATATAAGTTTTCTAGTTGACAGTACATTCGAAATTTAGCGATTCATCTCTTAAAAAAAACATCATTTCCGCCAGAAAATTTCTATCACAGGTCTTCAAAATAACTTAGTTCGAAATATGATCCACTTCTAGGAAATTTGATGAGCTGATGCATCTGTATTCTTCTATTCTGGTGATTATATGGTCTGCACAGCTTCACAACGTCTTCGGAAAATGTCGACCTTCGACTTACTCGATAAATAGCTACCACCTATCTGGTCACATGATGTGCACAAGGATTGTCTCCGGTCTCTCTGAGTGTGTGACAATGTGTGCAATTGATGTCCACTGCAAAAGCGTAAACTTCTTCTTAATCAATAAGTCATGTGACTTGAATGAAGCAGACAGACATTCCCACCCAAAAGATTATAGACCGTTTGTAGGATGTGTCTACATGGAAATGTCTACGCCATTCAAAAAGGTCTGTTATTTTAGTTTTTTTCCAGTGTTAAAATGCGAGACTAAAAGATTCTGAAAGAATTGTCCATTGCTTGAGACGAGAACGAACGAGAACTCCGTTTGTTTTTTCTTTTTTTCCTTTTTTCCATCCGAGAACCTAGCTTACATTCGGCTGCAATTTCTCTTATTCGCTTTAAGTCCTGTGCAGAAATTCAGCAAGTATGGCCCAAGGCAAAGAGTGGATACTATTGGATAAAGATTGGAAGCAAAGAAGCTCAGGTTTATTGTGATATGAAGAATTATGGTAAGTTTAAAGAGCCAGAACGTGGGAAAAGTTCTAAATTAAAGAGCCATATTATCCCATGCGGTCACTGTTTTTGTTTGTTTTTGCTGCATTCAATTTTGATCGTTTTGTATAGATAAGATGAATTAATTAAACCGGTTTAATCATTTCAATTAATAAAAAAAGAGAAAGATCTCCTTTGACAGTTAGAAGAAAATTTTAGTCACTATGATCCAAAGTGTTAAAGCGAATGGTACACTTATTAACTTGTTATGTACTTACGGAATAGTTCACACACAATGACTGCATGAATGAATCAATGAGATTTTTCTATAATGCAGTCAGTTCGTTTCTCTTTGGAATGCTGTTATAATATAGGTGGCGGTTGGACTTTGGTGGTGACCATCAGTTCCACGAATAACGATCATCTCGAAAGCGCTAAAGTAAATTGTCTCAACTTAGAGTTATGTGTTCCGCTACCTGAGAAGGACATTACAGCTCGAAAATTGCAAGACATAGACATACACGATCTGCTACATTCTGAAGGTAACGCTGTAGAAAGTAGAAACTTTAAGGAGAACAAATCAAAACTGTACCAAAATCTGAGGTTTCGGCTGTCAAAGGGAAACAGAATTCGAGATTAACTCGAATCTTTGCACGGGATATCGTTGAGCCTATTTACCAGTTCAGGCCGTTGTCTTTTTTTTGCCCAATGATTATTTGTTATTAAAAGGTACTTAGGAAAAGTGATAACAGTAGACGACTTTCACCCTTGCAGTGATGTAAGGTAAAATCAGTACAGCAAGCGCGTATATTGTTCACTCCTAACTTTGATACCTATTTATATTTAAGGGACCTTTCGAGTGGATGTTCTGGGAAAAAATGAAAATTACACTATTTTTCATCAGGTATAAAGTTGTATATTTGTTTTAGTTAAACCTCAGTCTCCTGCTAAATAATAAGTATAATAATGCATTTATTTCTTAATACTTCATTACAGATTCCAAGTGGTCCAGAAAACTTCGACTCAACATGCGTTCAGGGAAGGTAAGTTTTATCTTAATGATAGCAACTATCTATTGTCATTTCGACCCTTGGTTAAAAAAAGTGAAAAAGCGTCTTTAATAGTCTCTCACGTGACACCCTAACCCTTCACATAGGAGGTTGACATGCCTTGAAATTGTGCGAGTTCAAAAAACTTTGCATGACACGGTTTGCTTTGTGAGAGAGAAAATTCAAACCCCTTGGTAACTTTCATATAAAAACAACGGGAACAGATAAAAATAATTAGTAAACAAAGACAATGACGGGAATGAAACGACAACGACAACAACGACGATGGCGATAACGATGACTGAAACGATGACGATAATGATGATGAAAATGATAATTGGGATGATAATAATAACTATTATTTTGATAACTTAACGCTGAAAGAAATTGAATAATTTTGGCGATGAGTAAAATTAAGATGAATTTTAATTATTCATTCGAAAGAGTTATTCAAAAGGTATATATTCGATAAATATTCTTCTACCCACTCAGTCAATAAGTACATAGTATTAACACCAACGAGTTGTCCTCAAATGCAAACCATGCTAATGCAAACCTCAACTGCAAACCATGCATAATCATAAAACTCAGGGTTGAGACGATCTCTTCAAATTCCCCATTCTACCGATGTGAATGATGTCCATTCGCTTTCCAAAGCGAACACACTTTCCTCTGCCCTTAAAGGATCAACTCAGACGAACAAAGTAGGTAAAAAAAAAGAGAGACTGTTGTGATTTGCCTGTTCTTTTTTTTTGTCAACTACAGGTGTCCGCGCATAATAATTTCTTATTCTTTTCCTTATCAATGGGAGACAAACGATTGTACAGAGATTGACGTCGGTTACCGCATTTTCGCCGGTTGCCACAGAGGTAATAGAAATGATGATATATAATGATGAGTTAGGTGCTCTCGTCCTCGTCTCCAATGAAACTTTGAAGACCTAGAATGACCAGAGACTTTTAAATAAGATAGACCATTCCGGGGGCGGAAAGAAACAAATCCAGAAAGGTGAAATTTTGGAAATTAACCCCATGCTTTTAGTTGAGAAGTTATTTTTAAATAATATAGAGCTATAAGTGGATTAAGAGAAATGTTCTATTCATAAATATATGAGTTTAGTCGCAACGAAATTTGAGGGATTGTGCCAGTTTATGACACACGTAAAGTCAGTCTTAGTGACTCTATTAGGAACAAAAACTTGTGCATGACCCCTTTTCCCTCCCCTCTCCACATACCACAGAGAAAGAATAAAAATGCTACTTTGAAGCGTAAGTAAGTGCGCATTTTAAATATCACCTCTTAATACTTATCAATAATCTGAATAAAGCAGTAAATGGTTTGAACCCGGGGGTAACATGTGAAGGTGTAGTCTGATCGTCCGGGTGAGTGTAGTCCTGAGAAGGACTGTTGTCGGTGGTAGTGACTGACGTTTCGACAACCTGTGCGGAAGTCATCATCAGAGTCAAGTGAATGATTGTTGTCAGTAGAATGTTCTTATTCCAGTTCGTGCGCAGAGTCCCAGTCAATGCCTAACCTACAGCACTGACTATTTTCAACGACTGACTCTGGAAAGCTGGTTTACTAACTTAGAACAGACTCCCCTAAACAGATGTCAACAACTACCCGCCCCATACAAACGACTCATTCACGACATAAACATCACAAACGACCGAAAAAGAACGACCTAACTTTACCGACAGATCGAAACAGACCAATCACGACCGACTTACGTCACTTGAGTCTTACAGCCAATAACATCACGGCAAAACCAACCGATCATTTCACACGAACTGGAATAAGAACATTCTACTGACAACAATCATTCACTTGACTCTGATGATGACTTCCGCACAGGTTGTCGAAACGTCAGTCACTGCCACCGACAACAGTCCTTCTCAGGACTACACTCACCCGGACGATCAGACTACACCTTCACAATCTGAATAAACCCACTAACTTTGACTCATTCTGTTTATGATTACTAGTATTCGACGGTCAGGACGATCGTGAGTGCGGCCATTTGTGGTTTTCATCAAAATGTAGGAGTAAATTGCAACTTATTTCATGTCAAATGAATTGTAATACATAGATGATTTATAAGTACTTTTTATTTATTTACACCCTAATATAGGTACGCATATCCTCCCCATTACTCCAGGTACATTTCCCAAGGTTCTAAAAAGAATTGTATGTCTCGATATGTCACACTAGGGTGAAAGTTTAAGATTCTATACAGTCCTTTTTTTTTTTGCAAGAACGTCTAATTTTGCGGCTAAGGCTGAACCTGCCTCATTTTTTTGCGATTTGAACAGGAAAACGTTCTTACATGTTCTTAGAACTTTTATTAGTAAAGAGTATTAAGTACGACAACAAATTGAGTTGTTCTTCGATGTATCGCGCAATAACAAAAACCGCATTGTTAATGTTAACAAATGTCCCTATAGTGTTCGAGTTAATTTTCCCGTCAAAAAAAAAAAAAAAAAGAAGGAAGATTAGCAAAATAAAGACGCTCTTAACTGACCCTCAGCCTGGGTATTTTCTTCAAATGTTCTTAAAATTTTGCTTGATCACAGCCTGAACGTTCTTACAAAAAAAAGGGTCTTAGAAATAATAATAATAATGATAATAACAAAAATAATATCAAGGTGGCAGTTTGAGTTCCCGTTAGAAGGAGGACCGTAGACACAACAGAAAAGCTTTTAGGATTAGTTAATGTACATTTATTTTTTACTCCATGGCTCACAGGTTACGGTTTTCGCCCTGTGCTGCCTGATTAGAATGTAGCATTCAGTTGATTTCTCTGCGATAATAATAATAATAATAATAATAACAATGGTAATTATGAAAAGTGTGTAATAGCTGATCGCTAGAGCCTGTCTTGTTCTGTTTCTGGGTGAAAATTAAGACATGTTTACTTTCACAACGCCTTTCTACCTCGTCTTACCAGACGAGATGTAACATCCTATGAAAACTCCCATGGCAAAATCATATGCTAAGCCCTTCCATATTTTATTCCATTTTAAAACAGACCATGGAAGACGTACCTTGTATGGTTATTGTTCCAACAGTCATGGAATCTACCAGGACAAATCAGGGATGATGTTTGTAAAATAACCCTGCTTCAGAGCAATATGGTGAATTATGTCATCAATATCTAGGAATCAGTCAAGAATATAGATTCAAGTATTCGATACCACCACACCTCCGCAAACACTTTCCATTTTATTAATAACACATTTATAACTTAGTTGCAAATTAGGCAAAGCTATGTTTTGATTAAATTTTACGAGTCTAATATTAATATTTGGTCATCATGCCTGGACAATATTCGTCAATCAATAAATCTTTATGTAGGAAAAACATTTCGCTTGAATAAGAATCAAGGATGATTGTTTATTTCGATAGCCGAGAAAGAAAGACAATTATGTTTGTAGTACAATATGAAATATTTGTTTACAAATAGAATTTTCATGTCTTCACCCGAAATTTAATGTTAAGCAATTCATTACTATGAGTTTCCCATAATTATGATCGAATAATTAGCAATTTAGGACAGGGTAAGTGGTTGGGGGCAATCCTTCATACCCCCTATATAAGAGCGGATTGTTGATCACACGGGGACTCAGAGTAATGTGTCATTCTGCCCTGCTCTTCATTGCAACACGACGTCTACAACGTTTTCCCACCTCCTCCCCTTGCCTTGTCCTCGTGCTCTCACGGCTTATACTTGGCTTTTTGTTCCCTCACCTTTACTGGGCTGAATATTTTATGTAGCCAATGTCCTCAAAGTATTTATGATAAACTTATTTTGTTATCAGTTTTGTGTTTTGGTTTATTACAATTAAAGCGGCTATGGGCTTTCCCATAGCCATTTTGACCCATATGGAATTTGTCTTTATTTCCCAGTAAACAGAGCTCAGTGAGTACAGTACTCCATTTTATAGTAATATAAGCGAGGGAGAGACATCAAAACCTACAAGAGTCGTTTTTGTTTTCTTTGTTCCTATTGTGCTCTGTCTCTTTTTGCAACTCTACCCCTGAAATTTTCCAAAAACTAATGAACTTTTTAATCTTTGAGTCCGCTCTTAACAGCATATTTTCTTTCCTTGGATTAAAACAGGCAAAGATGGACCCGTCCTGTCCGCTCAGGTACCCAATCAGAACACGGGATTCACTTCATATTGTCCACGGGCGCTGCCAGCTTTATAGCAAAAGAGATTAATATATTTGAATGTGCCCCTCCATGCAAAGGCTCCTCCACTCACCCTCGGTAAAAAATCTTCCCAAATTATAAGGCCTCACTGCTACTGCATTACTTATGCCACGTGTCATTTGTGGTCTCAATAATGGTGCTGATTCAACCGAAGGCTCAGACGTCGAAAATTAAAACTTCTTTGACGGCTAATTCTATTAACTGCGAATACCATTTCAGAACTCAATGTGGCTGGTGTTAAGTTAAATTATTACATTCGCTGACAAGCGGGGACACCGCAACAGCTTATGCCAATTACTGCTGGCTCAGTAAACCCACCCATCCCACCCCTGGGGAGGACATCCACCACACAGTAATCTCGTGCGTGGGAAATTAACGTCTCCTACCCCTATCCCTGCAGGAGACGGGACCTCCATTTATTCGTCCTTATCCGAGAAGACTAGAATATCTAACCATTTCTTGATGTTAACGTTAGAGAAAGGTAGCATATTCTTCTCAATCATTTTAAGACCCTGAGTGTTGGTCCGGCCGGGGCTCGAACCCTCGACCTGCCGCACAACATAATCCGGCGCTCTAACCAATTGAGCTAACCGGGAGGCGGTTAGTTGGTTCTGAATAAGTCACTGTGTAACAATGTATTCTATCTTCGAAATGGAAACCACGCGAGGGGAATACTTTGGGCTTACCAATTGTGAAACATAAAAATGTGTATTCTAACCACTCGCCTGATTCTAACTGTCCTTTGTGCGAAAAGGTTCGTCAACTATAATTATTTTTTATTTGGTGCAACAGGCGCTTGACGAGGAATCAACGAGATCTAGGCAGCGGTGCAATGAATAGGTGAATTCAATTCATGAACCCATCGCTATCAGTGAACAAAGAAGCCTGGTCATGATGGTAAATAAATGGCCACGCCTAAGTGGCTGGCGATCGGTGCGGTGACGCTAGGTGGGAACTTAAAAGTTTTGATGAGGATAGCTCCACGAGTGGTTAAGATAAACCAAATTAACTCCTATTTTCTCATTACTTACCCGAGTGGACCATAATTAAAAGAAAATACACATCTAAGAGAATGCACATTCCAAAACTTTTATAAAAGGCTGATAAGAAGCTTTTCGAGGTACGTTTAGTGGATCCCGGCGATTGCCCGCTTAGTAACATCACTCCGAAGAAGAAAGAAATAAAGTGCCATCTCAGAAACAAAGCTGCTCATTGCCCCGATATAAAAACTAACAGATTTAAGAATGCTTTTGTAAATAGGCTAATTTTTAAATATAATCTCTGATCTTTCTATTATTTGTAAATAATGTCATGTATTTTTCTCTTTCTATTATTTATATATAGTACATGTCATGTATTTTTAGACTCCTAACTGCTGATTTAACTTATTAAGATATGTCTTTTAATCTTAGGAAGAATAAAGATTGATTGTTTGATTGATTGATAATTTATTCAAAAGAATAATGGTTTTTCCTAGATTAACTCCAGCAGGCCCTCGTTATCACGGCTGCTGCGCGAATTTTTCTTTGTTGCTACAAAGTATTTATACGGTAAGGCCTGGGGCACAGCAAGCCGGCGCTGGTGTGAGGTCTGGAAGTAATGTGGAATTTAAAAAAAAAAAAAAATAAAACACCTGGTAGACTTCTCGTCGGCTCGCTTTGCCCCAGGCCTCATTCCTTCTCTTGAGCGTAGAACCGTTCATGCCTTTGCGCTGATACTGAGGACCTGCCCGCAGTCTGTACAAATCTTAATGTATTGCGTGTTTGTGACACAAAACCGCGTGTAAATGGGAGTCACGTTCTTCTCCGTTCCGTGTCATGAGCTCGAGTGTCGGTGGATGATACTTCATCACCCGGGCGACATACCACCAGCCAAAGTGCGACGAAATTTAATTATAGCCTCATCAAAATACAGAATGGAATCGACGGTAAACAAGATGAAGAGCCACGTTCCCAAATAGCGACTCCATCGGTGCTTCGTTATAGAACCTGATTCCTACTGCATACATATATTTTGACCAAAGAAAAAACGAAGGGACTCAATGACAATCAAAATCAAATCATTTTCGTGTAATTGTTCCCTACGGTCTTCAAAAGCGTACCTGATCCAAAAGCACCCGCAGTGAAGCCGTTGTAAGTTACATAACACGTAATGTAACGCACGCAGAGAGTACAAGGTATTAATATCATCATTACTTTTTATCCTTTTCTTTTTTTTTTTTTTTTGTATCAAAATACAAAGACGAAAAAAGTGAAAGAAAAAAAAAAAAAAAATAGGAAGAGCTTTAACTGAGCTTTATATGGTATATGGAATGTGCGGTAGCTTTTCCTTTTAAATTTCCTTTTCACGCAATCTGATCGGCTAAAATCGTTTGTACCTTATATGACCCTCCCTGACGCTGACTAGATTTATCAATCTTTGAATGCTGTCCTTCAGTAAAATTTTGGGTAAAACAATAAAAACAATAAAAACACTAATGTGGCCTTGAATTACTGCACACTATTGTGGAAGTCCGAGCTTTCGCCGCTTAACGGCATCATCAGGGTCCATCAGGGACGGATAAGATAAAATATTCCGCGAGAGCCGAATAAAAGGGAGAAAAGTGTCACTATACTAATGAGCTAGTGTCACTGTGAGGGGATGCAGTGTGATATGGGAGGCGTTAGAACAACAGGTCCGCGAATTTAATGCATTCTTCTCGGGAGTTGAGTGTAGGTTTGATTTTCCTTATGTAAAACGTCTCAAATGGGCGGAGGTTTACCGGGTCGTTCTCCAATGAAATGATTTTGACTTCAATGCCTTTGTAATCCTTTTTTTTGGCATATAGCGATATGTTTGTTTACGGATTAATTTACGCTTCTGAGATGTTCTTTCACACGATCATGGATGAAGCAAGTGGTGCTCCCGATGTAGTCTTGGTTACAGTTTTTGCATGTAATTTGCATCCTGACAGTGATACTAGCTCATTAGTGTAGTGACACTTTTCTCCCTTTTATTCGGCCCTCGCGGAATATTTTATCTTATCCGTTCCTGATGATGCCGTTGAGTGGCGAAAGCTCGGACGTCTACAATATGTTACAGTAATTCAAGGCCACATTGGTGTTTTTATTGTTTGACTACATTTGCCTTTCATCATGATGACAGTTTCTTTGTGTAACGACATATGGAGGCTAGCAACAGTCGCTCATCCTCATAGCAACAAAACACGTGTTGCCTCTAGTTTTCCTACCAAAATCACGAAAACAGTAGGCATAATATCACATCCTGTGCCGAACAGTCTGCTCTCCAATTTTCAAGGCTTCTTTGGAGCATTTCCTTTCGAGGATCATTTCTGAAGATTGAAGCAAAAAAGGAATTCTGGTTGTAAGTAAGAACGTAGCACAAAGGTTTGTGTTTAAGTTATTTTACAGTTGTTTCTGTATTTTGACTACGAGAGTAGAGCATTCGTCTGGACACGGTTGAGTGAGTCGACTTGTTGCGTAACGAACTGGGTAGAACGAATACTAATTGTTGGATTTTTTTTGGGTTGTTTCGACAAGCTAACACAGCTAACATAACGTTTCTAGTAAGTTGAATTATTTGAACTTAGCGGCTCTATCCTAAACAAAAATGTGGAGAATGAGCTAAGTCGGTAAAAATCCGAGGGCGGGGATCATTCGCTATTTTAATCTCTCGGTGTGTTTCATGACAAAGTACACGCGTAACGCAACATCTCGTGTTTCACTGTGTGGCCTCATGAACATTATTGATCTTTGGTCCAAGTCGTAAGTCGTGAAATTTTCAGACTTCATTTTCCGGACCAGGGAACTCTGGTAATCGCTCGACGGTCATCAACAGTTTCGGCAAATGTTCAAAAATTATTACTGTGAGAACAAGAAAGCAAGAAATTTTCTCTTAATCCAGGGTGTTTCAAAACGTTTACGCCTTTAGAAGGTCAGTGAAGGTCACAGCGTCTGGTGAGTTCGCTTGATACACGTGCACAGAGTATGCATCTGTGTTATGACGCAACATAAGGATTAAAGGATTTATATCATTTTGGAAAAAGTTGTATTTAAAAACCGAAACATGACTAGTATTTAACCCTCCAAGAGAGAAATAGCTGGTGTCGCTTCAGTCTGTCGTTGTTTCCAGAGTGGTTTTGAAGTCGAGTCAAAGCGATAAAGGCAGGTTCAATTTGGTGTATTTTTCTAGGCGGTTGTTTGTTCCTCTATTTCTTTACCGGAAAATCAGAGAAAGTACAAATTGATGAGTCGCGTAAATAAACAAAACGAGGACAAAGGAACAACAACCTAGATGAAGGTAGATCAGTTTTGATAAGTCAAGTAACAGCACTTTTCACTGACTTTTGAAAAACTATACTGGGGAAAACGAGCCTTAACATTTTAAAAAATCTTTAACATTGGAAATTGTTTGCATTTCACAGAGAAAATTGGCAGACAAAGGCAAAGTCCACTCTAACAGACAGAAAGCAGGATTAAAGGACTTGAAGTAATTGAAGTCCTGATAGCTGGTTGGCCAATTTTGGTACATGCGAAGTGAGACACTATGGCTGTCATGATGAGCGACACTATGTGCTACGTGGCAGATGTAGGAGCAGGTCTTGGGCGCCACGTGGTAGACGTAAATGCAAACATTATGTGTACTTTAATCAGAGAAATAGCAAACATCGTGTGCACAATGGTTAAAGAGTTAGCAGTAGGAGCCATCGTGTGCACTTTGATAAAGGAAATAGGGAGTAGTACGCGCTGTTTGATGGAAAAGATTTCAGAGCTGTTTAAGAGTCGCCCAGAGGTTGTGAAAGAATGCATGAAATTGCCTATGTCGCAGATGATCTATTAAGGCAAGCTTAGAGAATGCATTGAGTTGATTTTCACATGAGACAGTAACCACTGCACGCTTTTGAGAGTAGATCGTCAGTTTCGTATCAATCACTTATTTTCAAGCTTTCTTTTTTAGTCACATTTAACCATGCCATGACTGATTAGTTCTAGCTTGCTCTGAGATTGTAACGTCTAAAAGCCATCATTTGCCTGTTGAAGACTGGGATAAATGTAATTCACTATTTATAAATATTTAAGAAATGGGAGTACTCTATATAATCCAGAAATCAAGCTTATTACCGAAGTTAAATGTATGTATCGGTCATTAACCACAGCAGACTGATTTATTGATATTGGTGTACACACACCCCAATGTAATATGACGTTTATTTTATGTGACATGACGTTTATTTGCTGATTGAAATAGTTAAACTCTCTACAGGAATATTTACTATCATTTTAAGAAACTAGACACTGTTTACAGCCCTTAAATTTTTGAGACCTGAACTCACAATTGCTGCATTTTTTTTGTTAGTCTTGTTGAAGGGCCAGCTTTTTGTAGGGATGCCTATATCTTTTATCATTATATGATAATGAAAGCCTAATAAATTGTATTAATAATTTTGCCATAATTAAAGATATTTTTAATTGAAATTTGAAACGTGGAGTGTCAATTATGTCTAACATGCCGAGGTCATCAGAAATGAATGCAGGTGTATATATTCGCCCTTCCTTCTTCCCTCCCCGCTTCCCCTCAAGAAAGCATGTTTTTAAAAACAAACTAGCACGCTAGAAAGCAGAGGTATTTTATAATTACACACTAATGTGTCACGTACGAAGCATTTCTTTTTCTTATGAAAGGTTGTCTTCCATGACATTTAAATCCTGATCTTTATGGGCCAGCTTACATGGAGGTGGGAGACCACAGGTAGGTGAGTCAACCCGCCTAGCCGTGGTGGAAAAGTAAAACGCGTTTACATGCAATTTTACAACTCAGGAGTGTCGGGGTGAAGTTTCTCGGGTTTTGTTGCGCTTGCAATTAGGGAGTTTAAGCATAGGCATCTCAAGCTCACGTCTCGAGAAAGACGGAAAGATTAATCGTCGGACACCTATGTATTTATACATGAGAGCGTCAGGCATTGTGTCATGCAGTGTTAGGCTACTCAAGGAACCGTTGACAGTTTGAACCCGTAATAAGTTGCGAGGAATTAAAGACCTTAAATCTTAAAAGACGTAACGCCGGAAAATGACGCCAAATCCTAAAGGTCAGAACGGCGGGAAATGACCCTCGCCATTTCATGCATGATCCACTATTCCACCGTTCCGTCGCTGCGGCTTTTGGCGGTCACTTACGTAAACATGTTGTAATTGGCTATTCACACTTTGGTGGGCTAAAGAATTTAATTCGAATATACGTTTTTGTAAATAACTCGCGTGCTTTTCAATATTTTAACAAAAATTTATTGGAAACTATAATTAGAATAAAAATAGTTGGACTTGAAAAAACAATTCCAAAAAA